CCACCCCCCGGCACTTTTCCTTCCATTTGGCAATTTTCATTTTAACACAATTTTTTTTGTATGAACACCTTTTATATGCATACACTTAAAGACACATATATTTCTGTGTGGATTTTACTGAAAAGCATTGATTAAATTCACAAAAAATGTATGTTTTTAGTTTCCAAAAACTCTCAAGCGAAGAAAGTGAAACAATTTTGGCAGCCATTTCCTCGCTAATTTTACCTTTGCAAACAGGAAACCCCCACCTCCTTGAATTGCAAAATATATCTCGACTTCTATTCAAGATAAATGAGCATCATTTTCTTCGATTGAGTAGGGCTATGGGTGGTGCCAGTTTAGTTGAAGATCTACCGAGCTACCGCAGCCTACCATAAGTCCCACCTGATGAACCAGTGTCTACTGCCATTTAGAGTAAATCCTGCACGATTGGCCTCCATAACAACAGCACTGGGGGTAATTTAGTAAACCAGACCAAAGATTGGGACGTTACAGTTAGTGTTTGCTGAGTTGTTAAGATACAAAAATTTTGCAGTGGTAAAGATTAAGATAGACAAACGTAAATCAAGACAGCAAGTGGTAACACAGGACTAGTTTAAAGAAACCGGGGGGGGGGGGGGGGGTGGTGGACAGCGGACCAGTCACGACGGTCTCTTCTTAATTTGATGAGGCATACATCTTCATTTATTTTATGCTATCATGAGTCTCAAGATCTAGATCGATCCCATTGCTCCTCCGCATCACTTGCCCAAAATGTATAAAAAGCTTTCCTCTATCTGATCGAGTTACCTTGTCATGTCATAACACATTATTGCCTTGTGACTACACCAATTAAAATTCGAAGAATGAAAGGCAGGCTCACTGCCAACAGACGACCATATTAAGTATAAGCAAAGGTGATGGATCAGATCCTGAGGGTATAGATTATCAATCAGATTGCCTAGCAAATTCTGGGGTGCAGAGCTGAAAGACAAGTCTTGTGTGATTGGTCAGGAAAACAAAAGCATCTATCGATGAATTCAGTTTGATGTGATAATTTCTGTCAGACCTAGTAGACCCTACTCATCATGTGTGTGATGTAATTCAGGCAGCAGGTTCAAATGCGAGCGTAATGTTTGGGGAAGGCGAACACCTTAACGAGTACACACCTTGGTGTTATTCCATCTGAAGCCAACATATAGTAAGTCCATCAAGATTTACAACAGAGACATGATGTCATAGTACCCAGAATGGGTTATCTGTGACATGGGGGCGGTACCTTTTTTTACCGAGATGTACCAAGATGTACCGAGAAGTTCATGAAAACTCAGGATTCGGACATAGCAGAAGAATTGTTTTGAGGAAAGTATTTGAAAAACAAAACAATTGACTTGAATTAAGGCTGCTTTTCAGGGGACAGTTATATGCCGTGCCGATAAAGTCAGCGCCGAAAGCCGAGCTGATTTTCATTTCCATGGGCTAGATGCCACGCATGTTTTTTGCAACACCGATACGTGTAGTGAGCTGGCCTGAGCCGAACCAACACAATTGACTGGAATTAAGGCGGCGCGCGCGCGCGCACGCGCACACGCACACACACACATATTCGTCATTTTAAAAAAAATCTGAAATCATCAGGTTAAGGCCGTAATTCCTGCATTGGTAGATTTATAGCTCCAGTGATCTCTTTTCTGAAGCCAGTCTTTCATCCATATTTCTCTCTTTTTGTTTTTTTTCGCCAAGAGCAGCACATAAATTGCAAGCAAATCTTCATTGTCAGTACACTCACTGCAGTTTAAACACATGAGATGTGGATGACGCGCTGACCTGTTGAATGGCGGTATTAGCACGGCGGCTTCAACGCCGGTTCCCGCTCCGGTCAAAACCGCCTGGTTGGAACGTACATGATGTGTAGGGCCCCTAGGTTAAAGGAATAGCTCAAAATATACGCATGTACGGCCTTTTGTCATAGGACGGCAGATCTCGTTTAGCCTACATCTCGGTACTTCTTGGTAAAAAAGGGACCCCATACTTAGGGGGGCCTCACAATGGTCACAAACTTTTGCTGCTTGGTTTATCAGCTGCAGGTCCATTTTTTTGGTTCAGTAAATAAATCAGGCCCGCGTGACGACATGATGATGATGATGATTAAAAAATCTGAATTTTTATGCCAGATCTCAGAGCAGCAAATTAGGAAAGGCTTTTACTAATGAAAGTAAGAAATTCAGTTTTAGTAAAATTGTGGGATCTTAAGTGTGTAAACTGGAAGGAAGTGAGCATTCCCACCCGGGGTGGGAATAATTTTTTTTGTAATTCCCACTCGGGTCGGGTCACTTCTCATCTTTCCCATCTCTCTAGTTTTATGAGATGTAATACAGGCTGAAGGCCGACCTCTAAACCTGGGGTGAGAATTAGACATATATTTCCACTTGCAGATCTAGTGCCTCTACAATTTAATACTGGGTCTGGAAATATTGAGCACATTCAAACAAGAGTGCTAATATACTAAGGGGAAAAATGTCACTTTTAGCTTTTGATTGAATGTTTTCTGTCATATATATAAAGGGGGGGAGTAAAATATTTTTATATATATCCCCACCAGGGAGGAGATAATTTAAGAGAAAATTTTATTTCCACCGGGGGGGAGTAAAATATTTTTTAAGGAAATGGTTATTCTCACTCCGGGTGCCAGGGCTGATGCTCCACAGCATCATGTTCGTCATTGTTCGAGTCCGAATAGTCACAGTCAGGGTTGTCAGTTTGGAGCTAAATCCCATAAATTTGGCTCTTTTGGATCGTGTCTGGCCCAGAGATTTCATTTGGCTCTCTGGCTCTGTTTTGGCTCCAAACTCCAAATGTTCAAGAAGAAAGGGAAGGAATAGGCAATAAAAAAAAAAGAAAAAGAAAGAATAAAAGAAAAAAAAAATGAAAGTGAAGAAAAGAGCTTGGACTGCTTAATTATTGAACTAGTTTTAAAACTTGATTTAACGCCCTCGCCCATTTGGTCTGAATAATTTACAAAACCCTTCTACCGTTGTGCAAGAGCATTGTCTCGTGCTTGTGTCTCATTAGGCCTACGTTTGTACACGCTCTCTGCTCCTTGAATCATAATTTATTGTGTGGAGGCAGATAGTGAGAGGTCTGCCATCGTTAAGCGTGTAAACAACAAATGATCCGTTCAGCGGCCGGTCCCACTTCCCCCTCAGTAGTGTCGGTAGGGAGCAAGACATGCTGATTAACAGGCCAAGCCAAGGCTTCGTTAGTTACGCGAGTAAAGGGCCGAGGGCTCGCTGGCACGGTTACTGAGCGACGATAAGAACAGACTGGTGTGCTCTCCTCATGATAATAATAAACCCCCCCCCGTTAGTGGTTAGTGAGCCTTTTTTTTTTTACTGGTGAGGCGAAAAATGTTTTTATATTATTATTATTATTCGTTCCCAACCACTAGTAACCCACTAAGGGCCTAGGTGATTTTATTGGCCTGCGAGAGGTCAGGGGGGAGTCCTCTCTCAAGCCCACACCGAGATGGGAGATTTTTTTCCCCCCCGGGGGGGGGGGGGGGGGGAGAATAGCGAGACATGGGTTATTCTCAGGGGGTTGGGAATTTATAAGTGAGAAAAAATGTCATTCCCACCAGGGGTGGGATCGAATGATGGCAGCCAAACTGGAATCAGAAGCCGTGGGATCTAAGCAGAGACTAGAATCTACTAGATCTAGATCTAGAGTAGAATCTAGATCTAGATTCTAAGTCTAAAACTAAAGCAGCAGTCTACACAGATCTAGAATCTAATCGGTCGACAGAACTACAGTCACTACAGTAGGCCTACTGTACAGACTGTGCCATTTTTTTTATAGACCTAGATTCTAGATCTAGTATAGATCTAAATCTAGATCTAGATCTAGATCTAATTAGAAATCTATTACTTACTTGATTCGGTCTTGATAAAATTAAATCTGCAGAATGAGAATGCCACTTGTGGCGTCTTGTGTGTAGCCTAACAGTACGGTAACACGTATGTTTGAAGTCAGTAGTAATGTAACTCAAAAAAGTTATTTCGAAATTGCAAGTTATTAATAGACACCATGCAGGGATGTCCACAGCAATTCATTCAATTGACGTCAATCAGAATCTTTTCCTGATAGACCTCAAATCTAAATTTAGACGAAATAAGAAATTATAATGAATCCATTTATAGATCCTCTGCTCTTCTGATACCGTCCGTAGACTTTGGGATGGCCGATGTTATCTCTTCTTTATAAACTTAAGGATTCAAGAAAATACTGGGGGGGGTTTTACATATAGATCTAGATATAGATCTAAATCTAGATAGGGGAACAAAGTCCTACCTTATGTGGGTTTGAGTTCAAGGAAAAATTTATTTCGATTTTCCTCAAAACAATACAAATAATAGGCCCAGGCTAGTAATTTACTTTGCTTCCAGAGTTACTTCCCCTTTAAACAAGAAAAATTATTTATACTATACGGACGAAATGGTTGGCTGACTTCAACCACTAAATGCACTTCACAAGGAACTCCATGTAGATGTACCATTAATTGAATTAATTGTACTATAATTATTGAGGATCAGGTCAGGTCAGGTCAGGTCTCTAAGTATTATGATTGCAATTAGCATCCCAAGATGGTCTAAAAACATTAGGTTGTTTTTGTTTTTTCAATAAGCCCAGATTCTTACGTCTTGAATTTCGTGAATATAAGCGTTGAAAATGAAAGACGAAGTTGAAATCGTAGTCCGTGGCCGAAACTTTGCAGACATACATGCAGGCCTATGCTTAATATGAAAAATGAGCTTCACTCTGAACATGCAAAAAGCAACATGTAAAAACCTCATTCATAGAGCGTAAGCGTAGTCAGAGAGAGAGAGAGAGAGAGAGAGAGAGAGAGGGGG